CTAGCTCTCCAAAAGAGACTGTTTTGCTGTAAAGACCTGTAAATAGTTCCAGGAAATTGTCCTCAGTTTCTCTGTTCCATTGGTCATCCCATGCACCCCTTACCCCATCCAAGTTCAATTCCCCTAATAAACTTCAAAACAAGCTCAAGGACTGGTTACTGAATGCTGGACGCAGGTCGGTGTGGAAATGCATGTTGCCTGGCTGTGTGGGGCTATAGGGAGACCCAAACTTCTGCAACTCCTAAAGGGGGTAGTGCTACATTTATACTGTGTTTTGTTATGATTTTTGTCTATGGTCATACAATTCTGGTACCTCCTCTGCCTGCTTAATACTGACCCTGGCCTGGCTTTGACTCTGCTCTTGGTTCCTGATTCGCACTCCTGCTGCCCAATTGTTGCTGTCTCCCATTTGTCTGACAATGCATCTGAGATCCTGCATCTGCTAGCTTTCAGTGTGCTTGATGCACTGTCTTCAATTTCACTTCTGTTACCAGATCCCCGGATATTCTACAGTCACCCAAGCCACTCTGTGCCCTTTTATACCCTGTCATCATCTCCAGGAGAAACAGGACAAGAGGTGTCTGGGAAGCCTTCTCGTCAATTTAGCCTCAACCAGTTACATGACATAGGGCAGAAAAACGAAGACCTATTAAAACATATTAATATAATTGATCTAATAGGGATTAGGGGGAATACAGTAGATTGTCTGCAGCTACTCTTGATCATTCAAGTCTTAAATTGTGCATATTGTGCTATGGAACCCTTCTTCTTGGGGGCTCTTTGGGGGATAAAGAAGGAAGACTTTGGGGTTCATTTACTAAAACTGGAGAGTGCAAAATCTGGTGCCACTCTGAAAAAAAAACTTGGGAGCTGATTTGTTTCTATGCAAAGCTTAATTGAACAAGCTGAAGTTAAAAGCTGATTTGCTACCATGCACAGATTTTGCACTCACTAGTTTTAACAAATCAACTCCTTTGTGTTCTCTGCTTTAGCATGTCCCATAAAAACATTTGCTGATGTTTATATCCGATGAATGGTGCATAGTGGAAGGAATTAGACTTCTGGTGTTTGTGAAACTACTTCTGAATTTGCTCAGGGGTGTACAAAGGCATTATCATCCTGGAAAATGGAGACATCATTGAGACACAGTGCTTGAAACAAATAATGTACATTGTTCTACAAAATGTCCTTACACTCTTTGGCCAATAGAGGACTAAACAAAACCATCATTACTCTCAATGAGTCCCACAAAAGGCCTAGGCATTCAGTTACAGATCTTTCATCACTTTTAACAGTTTAAAAAAAAGGTTGTGGTTTGAAGGCATCCTTTCTATTCTTCAAATGTAAGCTATCTGCATGTAGGCAATGGGGAAAGATATAGGAGTTTAAGGGGATATAGTTTTCTAATGATAGTCCTTTATACTTGGTCCTGTGTCTTTAGCTTTGACCTTGGATACAAGTAGTTTCCAAATGACAGCCCTGCCACAAACCCCAATTTTGTAAAACACACAGAACATTTTTTTTCCAAGACTGAGTGCTAGAGCCATTGTTCCTCTTTATTGATACATTTTGTCCATTATTCGTATTAGTGTATAACTTGACACATAAAGGTCAATTTACTAGAGAATCTGAAAAATCTTCACAAATTGTTTCTAAATTCACTTCAATTATCCAATAATGTGCAAATTCAATACGCAAACAAGAATTTGCTTTTCGCACAATTGGAAATTTGTAGTGAAATATTCACACAATTTATTGTATGAAGATTCTCAACTCCTTTTTTAAATTGGCCTCATACTGTATTTGTTTCAACATTTAGGACCAAAGCACCTGCAATTTGTGTCCCACCTATTTTTTCCTTTGAAATTCTGGTAGTTGCCTCATGTTTGTTTGAAAACTTAGCATTTTCTGATCTAGAAGTTGTGGTAACATACTTCTGTTGACACAGGTGCACGTGCTTGCTGAATTCAAACACAAGCATTCATGAGTGTTCTACTTCGGAGCATTTGAATGAAATGTATGGTGATTGTGTCATTATGAAATTAGATAGCTTTCAAAATATTGTGTTAAGAAAGAGAACCAAGTAATTTTATTCCTTTCATTACTTTTAACAAACCATAAAAACCTGCCTACTCAAGATGTCAAACTACTAAAAAAAACAACATGCTGCTTACTCTCTAATTGCTATCTCACTACATTCTTAAAAATGACTCACAAAATATTGTTTGCCCTACACTTTTATTCATCAAGACAGCATACAAATACAGTTTCAATGAAAGAGGGCTTTGTACAGTCAGTCCAACAGCATAGATATATACAAAATATTTGCTTATCTGATGAGCTATCAAAACTCAGGCCAGTTTCTGACTAACAGGGTATCCCCTAATGGGTTCCCTGAAAACTTTTTTATTTTATTGTCAGCACTCAGATTTTTCATCAACCAGCAGGTTTCTACAGCAGAAAGAGCAATGGAGAGCCCTAAGCATCAGTCAGCTCACATATATAAAGGACTGTGCACAGGTGACTATCAGGATAGCAGGGCTGCCAGGCTCAAATGGTTCCATATTTCTGTCCCCACCATCTAATCTCTTTTGTTGCTCTTTCCACTCTGAGCTACTTGTACATTATAACTGGACTCACAATGTACTCACAATTTTCTCTTGTTCTGTACACCTGTAACTGAATCGCTACCTTAGCAGTGTGGTTGTTTGCTCTACAGTATCATGCCAACAGTGCCATTATGGAAGAAGAGAAATCAGAGCCTAGACCGGGATGGTGACGAGCTCCTAAAAAATGGCGATTTGGTCATCAAACAGCCCTTTTCTAGATATTAAGTGGGCCCTAAATATGATGTGAAGCCTCACTGAGGAAGGAGGATCCAGCCTTAGTATCAAGTAAGCGAGAAGGAGAGAGAAGCATAGGCTTGCACTAACCTGTAATCAGTAAGGTCAAACGAGATGCACAGATACAACAACTCGGAAGGAGGAGGAAGTTAGGAGCTCCTAAAATGGTGATTTGGTCTTCAAACAGCCCTTTTCTAGATATTAAGTGGGCCATAAATATGATGTGAAGCCTCACTGAGGAAGGGGGATCCAGCCTTGGTATCAAGTAAGAAGGAAAAGGAGAGAGAATCATAGGCTTGCACTAACCTGTAATCAGTCAGGTCAAGCGAGATGCACAGATACAACAACTTGGAAGGAGGAAGAAGTTAGTTAGGAGTGATGGACTGAGGAGCAAGTTGTTTCAGCTGCCTACTTTCAAAAAATGTTGACAGAGTGGAGTAATTTTTGTCACAGCAGCATGGTGGGGAGGATTTTTCAGAGCAGTGCTTACCGGTAAAGAATTTTTGAGAAAGGGGGACCAAAGTCACAGCAATAAAAGAGTTCTTTAAGTTGGTCCCGTGAAATTCTCTAAGCACTGTTTGTGTGTGGACCCGTAAAGTAATGTGCTCATGCTGATGCCCCTTCATTTTAACAGTGCTGGTGTTTGTTTAGGGATTTTGTAAAGTTTTTTTTTTTTTTTTTTTGTATATTATGAATGTGATGTCTAATTTATTACTTGTTGAAAAAAAGACTTCTGTGGCAATTTTAATCCACATCACACCATCGGTGTGGTTATTGAGGTGGTATTGGGTAAGGTCTTGACTTGCACTTTCCTCATTTTTAGTTACTTGGGCATGAGTGTTTTTGTGGAAAAATTACTTTTGTTTGTATTTTTGGCTCATTTGGATTAGGTGTTTTCTATCAAAACTTTTTTCCCATTCTTTTATTTCTTACTCTTTATGTTTTGAGGGGTCTTTGAAGCAGATTTTTACTCTAAAGCATGTTGTAGAATATTGATTCTGTCTCTGAGAAACTGTTTTTGATTCTGGCTGTCAGTAGAGTTATGAGTCTATTTCCATAAACATGTCTCTGTGTCTAGTTGTGACAGTATGGTTCTGATTTTTCAAAGCTGTTTCTTGTTGTGTGAGTATGGGTTCTATTCTCTTCCTGAAGAACCTGTTCCTCATTTCATCAGTATGGTTCTCATCACTCTGTGAACTTTTTTGATTGCATTAGTATACTGTAGTTCTAATGTCCCCAATCCTTTTTAAAGCTTCTGACTTGTACCAGTACTCTATTGATGAGTTATTGCTTCTTAGAATTTTGTTTTTCATGTTGATGCTTGTTTTTCAATACAGTGTACAGAGTAACTACTGCCTTTTTGATATTTTCCATATACACATATAAATACATGAGTTTGACATTCCAGTTTAATATATACAGTAGTGTTCAAAATAATGGCAGTGTGTTGAAAAAAGTGAATAAAGCTCAAAATCCTTCTAATAGCTTTTATTTCCATACACACAAATGCATTGGGAACACTACACATTCTATTCCAAATCAAAACATGAAGAAAAATATATCAAATATGTGTTGTTCCTCTAAAAAAATTGAAGAAAAGTGAATATTAGACTGTTCAAAAAAATAGCAGTGTTTGTATTCTTCTTTACAAACTCAAGCATTCACTATATAAACTGAAAAATGTTTGAAGATTTTGCTTTCCTTTGAATCACCTAATTAATATTTAGTTGTATAAGCACTGTTTCTGAGAACTGCTGTACATCTGTGTTGCATGGAGTCAACCAACTTCTGGCACCTGTGAACAGGTATTCCAGCCCAGGATGATTGGACTACATTCCACAGTTCTTCTCTATTTCTTGGTTTTGCCTCAGAAACTGCATTTTTGATGTCACCCCACAAGATTTCTATTGGATTAAGATCCGGGGATTGGGCTGGCCACTCCATAACGTCAATCTTGTTTGGTCTGGAACCAAGATGTTGCACGTTTACTGGTGTGTTTGGGGTTGTTGTCTTGTTGGAACACCCATTTCAAGGGCATTTCCTCTTCAGCATAAGGCAGCATGACCTCTTCCAGTATTCTGATGTATTCAAACTGATCCATGATCCCTGGTATGCGATAAATTGGCCCAACACCAAAGTATGAGAAACATCCCCATATCATGATGCTTGTGCAACCATGCTTCACTGTCTTCACAGTGTACTGTGGCTTGAACTCAGTGTTTGGGGGTCATCTGACAAACTGTCTCCGGCCACTAGACCCAAAAAGAACAATCTTACTTTCATCAGTCCACAAAATCTTGCGCCATTTCTCTTTAGGCCAGTTAATGTGCTCTTTGGCAAATTGTAACCTCTTCAGTGCATGTCTTTTTTTCAACAGTGGGACTTGCGGGGGCTTCTTGCAGATAGCTTGGCTTCACATAGGCGTCTTCTAATTGTAACAGTACTCACAGGTAACTTTAGACCTTCTTTGATCTTCCTGGAGCTGATTGTTGGCTGAGTCCTTGCCATTTTGGCTATTCTTCTATCCATTCGAATGGTAGTTTTTCGCTTTTCTTCCACGTCTTTCAGGTTTTGGTTGCCATTTTAAAGGATTTGCGATCATTTTAGCTGAGCAGCCTATCATTTTCTGCACTTCTTTATATGTTTTCCCCTCTCCAATCAACTTTTTAATCAAGGTACGCTGTTCTTCTGAACAATGTCTGGAACGACCCATTTTCCTCAGAATTTCAGAGAGAAAAGCACTGTAACCAGCATGTACAACATTTGCCTCCTTCCTTCCTTAAATAAGGGCAATAATTGCCACCTGTTTTTCAAAGAATGAATGACCTCACTAATAGAACTCCACACTGCTATTATTTTGAACATGCCCCTTTCAATTAGTGATTCAATTACACAGAATCAGCAGCATGCATGTCCTGACTGTTGGGTCTGCTGGATTTCTACTACTCTACTACACCTGCTAGTAAATTATTTGCCATGTAGAAATATCATTTCTACCAAAAACAGTGATTGATCAGGTTAATGATGTCTGACTGCTATTATTTTGAACACAACTGTATGTGTATATATATATATATATATATATATATATATATATATATACACATCAGCACCTGTACGGTACTGCCCCCTACAGTCTTACTGCTGTTCCAATGCCAGTCCTCTTCTGGGTTGAATGCTGCCATGTATCATTCAACCCACTTCCTTGTAGCCAAGGGTACCATGGACAAGCCCCTGAGGGTGCATCACTGGCCGGGGGTCAGGAGAAAACAGTGTTCATGTCACTCTGTTATGTATATACTCGGAGTGTATAACTCACAATGCACTGTTCTCTCATGAGAGCCATGACTGGCCAAACCAATACACCTGACCACAGGTCAGGTGCAATGCTTTGGTCATTTGGCCAATCACAGCACAATGCACTGTGAGAGCCAAGATTGGCCAAAGTCACGATGACTTTGGACTGGTAGGACTTTTAAGGGGAACCCCATCTCCCAGAAATGGGGGTAAAAGTGCATGGGGTTCCTCCTATTAGCCACAACAGGTCCTGGATCCGAGCAGAGGCCTGGCAGGGCAGGCTTACCAGGCCACGCAGAGCTAGCGGTGATGTTGGTGGAGAAGTCCACTAAAGGGCCTGGTATGGCTTCCCCCCCCATTTTTGGGAGGTGGGGTTCCTCTTAAAAGTCCTACCAGTCCGAAAAGGGCCTGGTATGGCTTTTAGGGGGGACCCCACACACTTTTTTCTTTAATTTCTTTACTGTGGGGTCACTCCTAACCTTCCTACCAGACCTAGAGGGTCTGGTATTGATTTGAGGGGGGACCCCACTCTGGTTTTTTTTTTAATATAAGAACGCCAGTCCTGCTGCAGCAGGTTCTATACATTGTACCGATGTGCAACTTTGCACGTAGTTTAAGGGGACCTCCCAGGCATTATAAGGCAAGGAATCTTTCATTATTTTTTTTTTTTACTTTAAGCAATGAAAAATGACTGCCCGTTTAAAAACGGTACTGTTTGAAAATGTTTTGTTCATTGATTCATGTAACTCAGGGCAGTACCCAAGTCCCCATATCCCTTTTATGGCCAATAACTTGCATATAAACCTTGAAAATGGGCACTTTTGAATTTACAAGTTTGAGGCATATAGACTTGCATTAGGTTCGAAGTTCGCTGTCAAACATTCATTAGGTTTCGAACGTTCGACGGCGGATCGAACACGGGGGTGTTTGACCCATCACTAATTGCCAGACAGAGAAGCGTGATTCGTCACTCCAGAGAACAGTGGCAGTGTGCTTTAATCACTGTATCCGATGCTTTGCATTGCACTTGATGATGTAAGGCTTGGATGCAGCTGCTCGGCCATGGAAACCCATTCCATGAAGCTCTATATGCAATATTGTTGTGTTAAATCTGAAGGCTACACAAAGTTTGGAGGTCCTTATCTATTGACTCTGCAGACCGTTGGCGACTTCTGCGCACTATGTGCTTTCAGTAGCGTGCGCTGTTGTGCTCTGTCATTTTACGTGGCCTACCACTTGGTGGCTGAGTTGCTGTTTCCTAGTTGCTTCCACTTTGTTACAATACCACTAGCAGTTGACTGTGGAATATTTAATAGCAAGGAAATTTCATGGATATACTTATTACACAGGTGCAAACTATCAAAATATCACGCTTGAATTCACTGAGCTCCTGAGAGCGACCCCAGATGTTTGTAGAAGCAGTCTGCAGTGTGCTTGGAACCATGGAGGTTAATTGGAACACTGAATCCAATGGAAGGGGTCCCAATACTTTGCATTCATGGCCACTCCTGAAAATCAAGATGTAAGGTATTGCATTAACACTGTTTTGCTATACACATGTTTACCCTTTGTATGTATTGGAACAAATATAAAACAGAGGCAGAAAAGCAAATATGACATAATGTCACACAAAACCCCCAAAAATGGCTGACAAAAGTATTGGTTAATCTGGAAAACATAACTGAAATCAGTCGCTTCCTAACCACAAAGCTTTTCTCACCCGGAATTTTGGTCTTTCCAGGTCTCTCTATTGGAAGGACTCCTTTCCCAACAGCGATCTTGGCGATCTGGGCTTGCTGGCCACTTCAGAACTCTCCAGCGCTTCTTTGCCATCCATTCTGTGCTTTTTGACGTATGTTTGGGGTCATTGTCCTGCTGGAAGACCCGATCTTGGACGCAAACCCAGCTTTCTGTGGGCCCTACAGTGCGACCCAAAATCCTTTGGTAATCCTCAGATTTCATGATGCCTTTCACAGTTGTTGCCAGAGGCAGCAAAACAACCCCAAAACATTTTGAACCTACAATACCACTGTGTTTTGTTCTTTGTAGCATTCCGTTTTGACTGATGTGCTTTACCGAATATTTAATAGCAAGGAAATTTCAAGTACATTTTGGGATGTAGTCTTACTTTTTTATGTCTCTGTGTCAGCAGTGGGGTCCTCCTGGGGTCTCCTGCCAAGCGTTTCACACGGATAGTTCGCGCTGACACTGATGGCCCTGAGCCTGCAGGACAGCTTGAAATCCGGACTATTCTGCGTTGCAATCTTTCATCAATTTCCTCATCCGTCCACGACCAGGGAGATTAGCTGACAGTGCCATGGGTTGCAAAGCGACCCTTCTTTAATTTAATGTTGCGCACTGTAGACAAAGGCAAATCTGTTCTCTGGAGATGGACTTGCTTGGATACACAATGGAGGTCAGACAGTTCTCGTCTCCTCTTTCTGTTGTCCATGCTTAGTGTGGAACACCTGAATCCAATGATCTATATTGCCCACACCTGTTACTTGCCCCAGGTGGTTTACAGGAGCATCCCATTCTTATACAGTTTTGGTCCAGCCCATATGTGTGACATTATGTATTTGCTTTCTTTCCTCCCTTTTTTTGTTTTGTCCCAATACACACAAAGGGAATAAACATGTGTATAGTGTAATGCAATACGTTTCGTGAGAAATATGATATGGAGTATATATTTCGGCCATGACTGTATGTATATATATATGTATATATATATATATATATATATATATATATATATATATATATATAAAACATACCAGATTCTCTGCATTTTCTAATGACACTAAACACCCACAATGTGCCTGGTGGCTAGATGATAGCTGAGGCCAAAAGAGCTCAAAAGCAGTGAAGAGGTACTATGCCAATTGGCTCAGGTTAAGTGTAAATTTTAATGATGCCCTGCTTTAATAACATATTTGGCCATGGTATTAAACATCTTTACATGCTTATCTGAAATGAATAGTTTTGCTATGTTTATGCTCTTTAAAAAAATCCATTGACAGTTTGCACAGTACAATTAAAGCCAGATGACACAAGGCAATTAGCCTAGTAGGAGGAAAGGGCAGATGAGGGTCTTTATGTATTAAGAAAGAAACAGAAAGAAAAAATAATAACATCATTTGAGAAAAAGCAATTCTTAAATGATTTTATTATTCATGTGCTTGCTCTTAATTTGATATATGCAAGATATATATTTTTCCCAAGTACTCTCAGCTTCTAATGAATGGTAATGTAAACAAACTCCAACAAGCTTTTACTTCTCGCCAAAACGTTAATTTAATTTACATAAAATGGAGCTAGAGAAGAAAGCCAGCTGTGATAGGAAGTCTCTCTGGAGTATTTGTTCATTATGATATTTAATACATAAAAATATTTCAAACTTAAAGGTGATCATTGTAAACTTTCTTTTAGGGCATTATTTGAGAAGGACCCCCAGGGACCTATATACACTGCCTTTTCCATTCTGTTGCTTTCCATTTTCAGTAAATACTGGAAGATTGCTGCTGGAGCCATGGAAGCTTGCACTGAGAAAATATAATATATGTACATTAAAGTAAACCTGCACAAAACGTATCAACAATCTTTTTCCCCTCATTGCTGCTGTAATTGCTGGGCTTTTTGTGAATATTTTGTATAATAAATTTCATAGAGGTGTGAGCCATCTTGAGTTCTTCCTATTAAAATATTGTGCAGTTATGAACCGGGTAAGCACCCTATGTGGAAGGCAGATCAGCTTGGACTGACGGAGAGGTTTTTTCTTGGTCTATCACTGATTTCAATGCAATTAGAAATTTGAATTAAACACAAGTATTGTATATGAATTAGAACTCTGAAAATTCTGGTCAAATTTAAGTTTGAATTTCAACACTAACATGCATACTTGTTCTAGGTTACAGTGGAATTTCACTCTATCAATCGACTATTTTTTAAACCTAATGCTACTAGCGTTAGTAAATATAGGATAGGAAAGTATATTTTTATATTGTAAAGCGCTGAGCAAACTGTTGGCGCTATCTAAATCCTGTATAATAATAATAATATTTACTTGTTTTAAACTTTTTTTTTTACAGTTCTTCAGTTTCTTTCTGGTTTCCAGGCCTAGGCAAATGAGTTCATACATTCCAGGAGTAGGAGGTGTTTCCTCAGCTAAGCACACTTTCCTGTCTGTATGCCTGAGTTAAGGCCAGCTGCATTCCTGGAAGTAATTGCTACTAGAATCTTCTGCCCTCACTCAAGATGGCTACCACCTGAAATGATAGGGGAGTGTTTTTCAAAGTGATTTCTCAGCAAAATAAAGCATGGAGACAC